ATATGTACTACTTCTGAGAACCAGTAGTAAATGTCTGGAGTAGTGTATGTACTACTTCTGAGAACCAGTAGTAAATGTCTGGAGTAGTGTATGTACTACTTCTGAGAACCAGTAGTAAATAACTGGGGTAGTGGAGTTTTGTTTGTTAAATATGCTGCATTTTCTGTTATGGTATACATGTTTAAATAGTTACCTGTGTCAGGTGTGTACCAGACCACATCTATTTGACATTTTGTTGATAAAGACCTTGGATAAGTTTAATAATCAGTGGCCATGTGGTCATAAGTGAATCATCACCTGATGACTATATAGCTATAGTATCACTATATCTCCTTATCAGGGTGTGGTGTTAACACTCAGGTTATCTACTGGGTCACCACCGTAGACTTTTACAAAGTTTTGTGCAGGGTGCCCACTGAATGCAATTACAAAGTTTTTTACAAGGTGCCCTTTGAATACAATACAAAGAGTTGTACAGGGTGCCCACTGAATACAATACAAAGTTCTGTGCAGGGTGCCCACTGCATACAATACAAAGTTTTTTACAGGGTGCCAACCGATTACAATACAAAGTTTTTTGCAGGGTGCCAACTGATTACAATACAAAGTTTTTTGCAGGGTGCCCACTGCATACAATACAAAGTTTTGTGCTGGCCGGTGCCCACTGAATACAATACAAAGTTTTGTGCATGGTGCCCACTGAATACAATACAAAGTTCTATGCAGGGTGCCCACTGCATACAATACAAAATTCTGTGCAGGGTGCCCACCAATTACAATACAAAGTTTTTTACAGGGTGCCCACTGAATACAATTACTAAGTGTTGTACAGGGTGCCCACTGAATACATTGTAGGTTAAACACAGCATTGACTAATAATAATAAAAAACATTTCCTTTTACAAACTTTACCAGACTACAATAATTCTGACATAAAGTTAATCAGTGTTCTCTATCACATGTGCATACTTACTAAATATTAAAAGGTGAACTGAACACTGTAATATATGACATAGACACAATTATGTTAACCCTAACCCAAACTTTGTATATATGTACATCATGGGAAGGCAGCATGTTGCATCTTAAAACAATGTCACTGTGACCTCCATTTGACCTTATATGCATTGACCTCAAACACTAAATGAAGTGTAACTCAGGTTTCTACTGCTCATTTTAGTCACTGTTTCGTGAGTGGGCATCAAACTTTGTAACTTTGCAGGGAGAGGACACAGGTGTATTTCTGGATCTGTACCTGAGTAGACTGTCAGGTATCACTATCTAAGGGAGAGGACACAGGTGTATTTCTGGATCTGTACCTGAGTTGACTGTCAGGTATCACTATCTAAGGTAGAGGACACAGGTGTATTTCTGGGTCTGTACCTGAGTTGACTGTCAGGTATCACTATCTAAGGTAGAGGACACAGGTGTATTTCTGGGTCTGTACCTGAGTTGACTGTCAGGTATCACTATCTAAGGTAGAGGACACAGGTGTATTTCTGGGTCTGTACCTGAGTTGACTGTCAGGTATCACTATCTAAGGTAGAGGACACAGGTGTATTTCTGGGTCTGTACCTGAGTTGACTGTCAGGTATCACTATCTAAGGTAGAGGACACAGGTGTATTTCTGGGTCTGTACCTGAGTTGACTGTCAGGTATCACTATCTAAGGTAGAGGACACAGGTGTATTTCTGGGTCTGTACCTGAGTTGACTGTCAGGTATCACTATCTAAGGTAGAGGACACAGGTGTATTTCTGGGTCTGTACCTGAGTTGACTGTCAGGTATCACTATCTAAGGTAGAGGACACAGGTGTATTTCTGGGTCTGTACCTGAGTTGACTGTCAGGTATCACTATCTAAGGTAGAGGACACAGGTGTATTTCTGGGTCTGTACCTGAGTTGACTGTCAGGTATCACTATCTAAGGTAGAGGACACAGGTGTATTTCTGGGTCTGTACCTGAGTTGACTGTCAGGTATCACTATCTAAGGTAGAGGACACAGGTGTATTTCTGGGTCTGTACCTGAGTTGACTGTCAGGTATCACTATCTAAGGTAGAGGACACAGGTGTATTTCTGGGTCTGTACCTGAGTTGACTGTCAGGTATCACTATCTAAGGTAGAGGACACAGGTGTATTTCTGGGTCTGTACCTGAGTTGACTGTCAGGTATCACTATCTAAGGTAGAGGACACAGGTGTATTTCTGGGTCTGTACCTGAGTTGACTGTCAGGTATCACTATCTAAGGTAGAGGACACAGGTGTATTTCTGGGTCTGTACCTGAGTTGACTGTCAGGTATCACTATCTAAGGTAGAGGACACAGGTGTATTTCTGGGTCTGTACCTGAGTTGTCTGTCAGGTATCACTATCTAAGGTAGAGGACACAGGTGTATTTCTGGGTCTGTACCTGAGTTGACTGTCAGGTATCACTATCTAAGGTAGAGGACACAGGTGTATTTCTGGGTCTGTACCTGAGTTGACTGTCAGGTATCACTATCTAAGGTAGAGGACACAGGTGTATTTCTGGGTCTGTACCTGAGTTGACTGTCAGGTATCACTATCTAAGGTAGAGGACACAGGTGTATTTCTGGGTCTGTACCTGAGTTGACTGTCAGGTATCACTATCTAAGGTAGAGGACACAGGTGTATTTCTGGGTCTGTACCTGAGTTGACTGTCAGGTATCACTATCTAAGGTAGAGGACACAGGTGTATTTCTGGGTCTGTACCTGAGTTGACTGTCAGGTATCACTATCTAAGGTAGAGGACACAGGTGTATTTCTGGGTCTGTACCTGAGTTGACTGTCAGGTATCACTATCTAAGGTAGAGGACACAGGTGTATTTCTGGGTCTGTACCTGAGTTGACTGTCAGGTATCACTATCTAAGGTAGAGGACACAGGTGTATTTCTGGGTCTGTACCTGAGTTGACTGTCAGGTATCACTATCTAAGGTAGAGGACACAGGTGTATTTCTGGGTCTGTACCTGAGTTGACTGTCAGGTATCACTATCTAAGGTAGAGGACACAGGTGTATTTCTGGGTCTGTACCTGAGTTGACTGTCAGGTATCACTATCTAAGGTAGAGGACACAGGTGTATTTCTGGGTCTGTACCTGAGTTGACTGTCAGGTATCACTATCTAAGGTAGAGGACACAGGTGTATTTCTGGGTCTGTACCTGAGTTGACTGTCAGGTATCACTATCTAAGGTAGAGGACACAGGTGTATTTCTGGGTCTGTACCTGAGTTGTCTGTCAGGTATCACTATCTAAGGTAGAGGACACAGGTGTATTTCTGGGTCTGTACCTGAGTTGACTGTCAGGTATCACTATCTAAGGTAGAGGACACAGGTGTATTTCTGGGTCTGTACCTGAGTTGTCTGTCAGGTATCACTATCTAAGGTAGAGGACACAGGTGTATTTCTTGGTCTGTATCTGAGTTGACTGTCAGGTATCACTATCTCAGGTCGATGACACATGTGCAGGGTTTTCCATTTCTCATACATTCCTATATATTTGACCATTCCTATATTTTGCTAAAATTCCTATATTTTAAAAACAGAGGTGTATTTCTGGGTCTGTACCTGAGGTGACTGTCAGGTATCACTATCTAAGGTAGAGGACGCAGGTGTATTTCTGGGTATGCACCTGCGTTGTCTGTCAGGTATCACTATCTAAGGTAGAGTACACAGGTGTATTTCTGGGTATGCACCTGCGTTGTCTGTCAGGTATCACTATCTAAGGTAGAGTACACAGGTGTATTTCTGGGTATGCACCTGCGTTGTCTGTCAGGTATCACTATCTAAGGAAGAGGCCACATGTGTATTTCTGGGTCTGTACCTGAGGTGACTGTCAGGTATCACTATCTAAGGTAGAGTACACAGGTGTATTTCTGGGTATGCACCTGCGTTGTCTGTCAGGTATCACTATC